CAATTTCAAATAGGCAACGCGATCCCGGATCTGGTTGGGGATCGCAAATTCTGCCAGGCAGCCCTCCCCAGAAGCGCGATCCCGGATCTGGTTGGGGATCGCAAATTCTGCCAGGCAGCCCTCCCCAGAAGCGCGATCCCGGACCTGGTTGGGGATCGCAAATTCTGCCAGGCAGCCCTCCCCAGAAGCGCGATCCTGAAATACTGACATGAATTCAATTCACAGGCTCACAAGGGTTCCCGGTTTGAAATTACAGTTGGTGAACTTGTTCCCGAAGAGACAGGAGCTTTTACCTGGCCTTTTACCTGGCATGTATTGTGGCATTGTTTTTCGGGTGTGGGATCTGACATATATTTTGGCCTTTGATGTGGCATATGTTCTGACATTTTATCTTAGATACATTCTGGCAACGTGTTTGGCAGTGGAGGCCCAGCACTGCCCACTGGCGGTCGGGGTCGCGGTGGAGGCCCGCTGGTGCCCACGTGATCCGAAGCTCGTGGTTGAGGTCCGCCGGTGCGCCCACTGTGATTGAGAGCTGGCGAAGAAGCAAGGAGAAGGAGAAAAAGAGGCGGGAAGCGGACTACTCTAACAAAATCTATAACAACTGTCACCTGGCAGGTGCGGAAAAACCAGAGCAAACTGCAAACGCAGCCTCACTACCAACATGCATGAGAATATCATGGGATGAAGCTAAAACACAAGCGATTGTACAACCAAAGTCGAATACTTCAAGTAACTGTTTTCCCGACCCAAGCGACGGTTGTCTCCAACAAAGGCCTCCAAACGTCCAACATGGGCCCAACATGGACCCAAGATGAGCCCAAGACCAATTTAGGCCTCAACATGGCCTAAGTTGGCTCTACAAGTGGGGCTTTCAACCAGCTGTATCAGATACAGCTGGCAAAAAAGGGGTCCGTAGAGGCATCATCCTGCCAATATAGGCCTCAACATGGCCCAAGTTGGCTCTACAAGTGGGGCTTTCAACCAGCTGTATCAGATACAGCTGGCAAAAAAGGGGTCCGTAGAGGCATCATCCTGCCAATATAGGCCTCAACATGGCCCAACATGGCTCTACAAGTGGGGCTTTCAACCAGCTGTATCAGATACAGCTGGCAAAAAAGGGGTCCGTTCAGGCAAATATTTGGAACAATATATACAATGTTCTACAGTGAGTCTCATCATACTTAAGAGGCTTCAGGCCACAGAATACCATGGAAACCAGAAGGTCAGCACCTTCTTGTCACAGGTTTTCCATCCCATAGTCACGGAAGGCTCACCAACCTGGATGTGCTGCCAAGGAAATTGCATTACAGACAACCAGCAAAAAATCAAAGAAGAAATGCGCAGCCGTGACTGCAAAGAATTCAAGATCTCATGAACCAGCCCAACAAACGCATGTTGCAGTTATTCTGATTGCTTCGACCAAGTTAGTGTAATGGAAGGCAATGGAAGGCATATCTTTTTTTCCACCCCTAACAGGTCTTCGGAAGCTCTGTTGTCCAAGGTCACTGGTGTACGGCCCCTGTCCTGACTTGCCGAAAATGATGCAGGACACCCCAAATGAACACCTCCTGGACGCCCTGCACAGTCTATCATGGAACCTCCCTCTTGACTAGAACCTCCCTTTTGATTGAGGCATCTGCAGCTCTGCAAGGAAGCATAGCAGGGTTCGAGACATAGTTTGTCAAAATCCGAGACAAGTCCACATTCTCTTTTTCGAGAAGCCGTATGCGCTCAGCGGATTCCTGCAAACTCTTCACCAATCCTTGCGGGTCCTGACATTGGGCCAACAGCGCCTTCGCCTCATCCAGCTGCTTCTGCAGATCATCATAGCCCTGGATCTTTTGGTAGTCTTCAGCATTCAAACGATATCTAAGATTTTTTCTTCGGCTCTCATACCTGAGGCCGCATTGCGGACCGCAAAACTTTGACAGATGTTTTGGAATATAGAGTGTATGCAATATGAAATGCCTCATACCCAACATTATTCAGTTCGTCAATATGGCATCCCGTATGGCTGGGCCAGAGCATGGCTAAGGACTCTTGCGGGTTTGGGTTGGAAACTCCAAGTTGCTTTTTGTGGGCAGCTTTTTTTCTGCTCATCATCCTTCTTCACGGGTGTGTCCGCAACAACCTGCTCTGATGATCTCTTTGACTTGCTCCGGCCCGCAGCATCGCTCTTCGATGTCTTGCTCTGGCGGCAGGTGGACATGCTGAAGCTCTGAGCCTGAGAACCTTTACTATATACCTGCTTGTCCATGGCCATCAATGGTTGGACGCGGCAGTGATTCAAACAATGAGCCATCCATGAAAAACACGCAAGTACTAACTTGGCGTGATTCCTGGAGATGTAGCCCTAGTAAGGGAGGTTCTACTGGTCCGTGTTCATCTTAGCTGACTGCGCAAAATCCTTGTTTGAAATGGAAAAGTGGCAAAGGATGCGGCGGAGGCATTCCCACATGTTCCAAGGTCAGATAATCAGAAGAGTCGGTGACCACGCATGACTGATGACGCAACATGACGCTTCTGGAAATTCTAGGCAACCGAGCTCTGTCGAGAAGCACGCGATCCTGCTATCTCTAGCCTGCAGAATGTCGAGAACCCAAGAAAAATGACAAGACAGGGGCCCGAATTGGAGGCTCGAACTTCGAGTAAATGCGCAGAGCTTGCATGTCTTGCTTGCTACATCCCTGACAGGCATTGTTCAACGCTGTGCATACCAATTGATCTTAGCAGTATATACCTGCATTTGTTTCGTGGAGCTTGGGCTCCGAATCCGGGCCCCGAATCCGGGGCCCGAACCAAAGCTTCGAACAAATCGGGCGACTACACTCAACTTGAATTTAAACCATGTTTGTTACATTTCTAAGGCATACTTTGCAAGGTTACCCATGTCATGGAGATTGGGCTCCCCATCCAGGCCCCGAATCCGGGCCCCGAATCGAACATCAGGCGACTACACTCAACTTGAATTTGAACCATGCTTGTTACATCTCTGAGGCATAGTTTGCAAGGCTGCACGTACAATATACCCATTTCATGGAGATTGGGCTCCCCATCCGGGGCCCGAATCTTCGAACATCAGGCGACTACGCTCAACTTGAATTTGAACCATGCTTGTTACATCTCTAAGGCATAGTTTGCAAGGCTGCACTTACCATATACCCATTTCATGGAGATTGGGCTCCCCATTCGGGGCCCGAATCTTCGAACATCAGGCGACTACACCCAACTTGAATTTGAACCATGCTTGTTACATCTCTAAGGCATAGTTTGCAAGGCTGCACTTACCATATACCCATTTCATGGAGATTGGGCTCCCCATCCGGGGCCCGAATCCGGGGCCCGAATCTTCGAACATCAGGCGACTACACTCAACTTGAATTTAACCCATGCTTGTTACATTTCTAAGGCATAGTTTGCAAGGCTGCATATACGATATACCCATTTCATGGAGATTGGGCTCCCCATCCGGGCCCCGAATCCGGGGCCCGAATCAGAGGTTCGAACTTGGAGCGACTACACTCAACTTAAGTTTAAATCATGTCTCTTAGGCATACCATATACCCGCCAAGTGTATTTTAAGGAGATTAGGCTCCGAATCCGGGCCCCGAATCCGGGGCCCGAATCGGAGATTCGAACTTCCAGACTTCGAGCGACTATGTTCGGCTTGAATTTAAGTCATGCTTGCTACATTTAAGTCATGCTGTATGCATATCCATGTTTGAATTTTGGGCGTGAAGTGGTGCATTTATTTTGTAGCAACTATTTCTGGTTCACAAGCACAGCCGCTTTAGAATGGAATTCGTTTACTTTAAAATGACCCTTTCATAGCACAAAATCTCTTTCCGACTTGCACCCCTTCCTGGGTTTAGAATGACTTTTGGAACAGATGCCAGGCATCACTTCACCAGGCAGCACTTGCTTTAAAACGGGTACTGTAGTTTTTAGTAGGTTTAACTTGCTTTAAAATGGGTATTGTAGTTTTTAATCGGTTTTGGAAACCTGTAGAAACCACCATCATTTGACAAAAAAGACTGCTGACTCATTTCAATCCCAAACATTCGATTGCCGCTGCAATGTTCGCACACAAGCTCTGCCGCTCTGCGTGTTGACTACCAAAAAAATCTTAGGCAAAAACTTAACTATCTCAGTACCTCTTTTTTTAATCTTCTTCCATTGAAAGCCATTGCTCGCAACTACCAAAAAACGCCTGGGCAAGAACTTAACTTTCTGAGTCTTCCATTGAAAGCCATCGCCCGCAACTCAACGCCTAGGCAAAGACTTAACTTTCTCAGTTTCCCTTTTTTAAACCTTCTTCCATTGAAAGCCATCGCCTGCAACTACCAAAAAACGCCTAGGCAAAAACTTAGCTTTCTCAGTACCTCTTTTTTTAACCTTTGGTTCGAGCATTGTGATGAACTCACAGAAATCAAACATGGTGCGCTGACAGTGGGCAGCTCCAACAGATTTCTTGGTCAGCAGCTGCTTCCATAATCGCCTATCAACCATTGTGGCTGGTTATTGTGGTTATTGTAGGTCATTGCTATTATCAACTGATAAGCCGCGAATTCAACAGTGATCAGCCATGGAGTTTCCATGTTTTTTTTCACCAACTAAGTTTTAATCTAGCTAATACTGACTTGATCACTATTTTATTACAATTGTACTAGTATGATTTGCCACGAAGTACCCATGATCGATCAGGGGTAGTGTTATCCAGAGTGGTCAAAGTGTGCTTTGATTTTTTGGTGATTGACAATTTGCTGTAAGAATGTGGTATCCCGTCACATGTCGATACCATTTCCTTGCCCCACAACATTGGAAAAAAAACAACAAAACTAGGATGGGCTCCAGCGCAGCTACAGTTAGAACACTATTTTAATATTTGAATAATCTATTTATCTATCGATCAATCTATCTGAATCAATTGAACATATCTGAATCTATCTATTCAGTATTTTCACCGAATATCCAGCCCCACTTGCGCCGCAAGCCAGGATCGGATATGACACCAGCCTCATCTCTCCCATCCTGGATGCTGAATTGGCGACCTTCCAGTTTGGAGGCGATAGCCATGGATGATGCCACGCTATCCGCTTGAGAACCTAAGAAAATGCATCGTTTAATGATGTTTAATGCTAAGTATATTAAGTATGGATGCAGATGAAGGGTTTACTCCCAACGACGCATGGTGGAAAATGCCACAGATGCACATTTTTGTTGGCCAAACACAGTGTGACTAAATTTGACTAAATGCCACGCACGACACAGGTTCATCAAACAGGAACATTTACTGACGTGACGCTAGGAACATGTCAAATTTGTGGTTTGACTGGACTCCGGTTATCCCTGGATCGATATGGCCAACTGACCTGGATCCATCGATCGCCTGATTGATTCGCCAACAGCCGCGGTCGCAGAAAATCTGCAGAATCATTCTTTCTTCGAGCTGACCTTCAAGATCTTCCCGCGTCTTGGCGTGAGCTGAAGCCGTGGAGGATCATGAACTGATCTATGTATTTAATTGTACAAACACACATATATATATAATATTACATATATAATCAGAATATGTATCTAAAAAAATATACACATAATATAACATAACAAAATATGATATAACATAACATAATATAGTACATATATATTATATATATATTATATACATAATAGAATATATTATTTATGTTATAATATGCACATAATTATACAAACACATATGCATATACATATCCATATGCATATACATATCCATATGCATATCCATATCCATATGCATATACATAATTATACATATACATACATATATTAATGTTTATTTAAATATTTGAGAACATTGATTGCATATGCAGGTGTGCGACAATGGGAAAATGATGCCATCATATGATTTGGACCATTGAGATCATGCTGACATAATTAAAAAAACCCAGGGATAACGATGATGAAAGTCAGGGTCAGGGCAACTGCATTATATAATCCCAAATCCATCAACATAGCCTCAAGGCAGGTGTTCGCAGAGTTCTGCAGTGCCTTGAAGAAGCAGTTCTACAGTGAGGCCAGCTGTGACTTCTTACATTGAAGTGGTTCTAAGTAACAGTTCTATGTAAATGATTTGTGTGTGTGTGTGTGCGTGCAGTGTGTGTGTGTGTGTAGGTCAACATGTGAGACACTGAGGCCAGGAGTTCTCTTGTGGCATATTCAGTATATACAGTATCACTGTATCATACTGTATCATACTGTATCATACTGTATCATACTGTATCAGCCATCCACTTTTGGGCATTTGGTGGGGGTTTCACTCGTAGCTGGTTGTCTCTGCCGGTGGCTTGTGTGGAATCCCCAGGGAGAGTCGGTATTCTCCAATGGCTCCATTGCAGAGATGATGTACGTCACGAGCCATGGAGACTTTTGCCTAGGCCGACATGGACCGGTTGAATCCGGTTGACACGTTGACACCTTGGGTGGTGAACGATGGCAGGTGTTTTCCATCCGATGACTCAACAACTAATTATACTCAGTATATATATATATATATAGTCTATAGATGTCTATAGTATAGTCTATAGATGTCTATGGAAACAGGCTCCTTGAAACCAATGGCCAGGTTGTACATGTGAGTGAGAAACCCCAAGAATCCCAATCCCTCAGAGGCGAAGATGAGGGCCAAAGGGAGCGGTCCTTCAGTGGAGAGCACAACTACTTCGCCGAGGTTAGCCTCACCTGGACTGTCAGCATCTGAATTCGGAGTTTTTTGGATTTTTTTTGTTGATATGTCTTAAGTGTTAACTTTACATATTACAGGTAATGGAAAGTGAAAGAAATCATCATTGATTCTGTACCATCCGGGATCGCAATGCGATACCTCAGCCCTTGGAAGATGATTGGGCATGTTTTCTCTTCAAATCTTGTTGGACCCTCCACTACCCAAAAACTCACGCATATGGAGTGGTGCTCTAGTTGGATCATGTTGGATCTGCACGCAGGTCGCACTATACGTGGAAGCTGTAACGCACCAATGCACTCTGGCAGCCGAGTCCTTTGCAGAGGCCGCTGCGCTGTGCGGGCAGTGGGATCCAGTGGGATCAGCAGGACGGGAAACCTCGGTTTCCGAAGACCTAACTCCTTGAGATATGTAATAATTATGATAAATTATGATAATTATGTAGCCATCATTTTACATTCTTATCATTCTTGTTCCCTTTTAACGCTACAAAGGGGATCAAAGGGTGCTGTCACTGGGATTTTATCTCAAACGCTGTGTTTAGAGAATGAATTCTAGCATTTGTGTCCCGAATTGACCCACGGATACTGACGAAGATCAGGTCTTCGTTCTGACCGCTGCCAGTTTAGCTGCAGTCTTGTGGCTTGGCCCAGGATGGCCAGGATGGCCCAGTGCCAGGTGACCAATAGGATCAACTATTTTCCGAAAAGGGAAAAGGCTGCCGAACAAGCCTATTTCACTGACCACTTGAGAAAATATCATTGAAGAACTTTCAAATTATATATGTTACTGTTTATGGATGTAATGTAGCAATGTAACACTTTCATCAACCAAGAAGTACCGCAGCCTTTCCACGATGGTTGCAGCAACTTGGTGTGCACCATGCTATACAATGGTCCTGGCTTGGTGACCAGTGGGGCCAACCTTGGTGGCTATGCTACTCCCAGTTTTTTTTTCGATATTTTTCGATTACTTTTCCTCATTGTCCGAGGGCAAATTCGCCGATGTGCACGACGATGTTCGTTGAGTATGCCAATGAGTCGCTCGGCGCATGGCCGTGCACGTTGTTGAGGCATGTTGAGGCACTCCCTTTGGCCTTGAGGTACATCCGGATCTATTCAGACAGCATTGCTCGTCACGACATGGGAGATGCCCTGGACATACAACAACGCTGTAATCAGAAGGCCTGTTTCTCCAACTCGTTGCTCGACTACAACCCCGGCGGGGTGAGCGTCGTACCGATGCAGATGGTAAAACACAGAGCATCATGACCAGTCAAATGGCTGTAGGAACCAACTTGAGGAGCCTATTCAAAAGTCAGTTTCCCGGGGTGTGTTCAGTATGATAACTATGATAAGTTCCATGGGGACCATGATAATTTCGGGAGGACAGATATATAATTGAAATTTGAAGATTGTGCTTCTTTGATCTTCTTTGAAGTCGCTGTGGTTTCCTTCTCGCGAGGTTCTATTTGGACCTGAACGTGGATGAGCGCAACTTGTCAAACTTTTCAGCCGTGATGGAGTATCTCTAGCAAGATGGAACATTCAAAATTAACAAAGTGAATCCTTCAATGATGAACCCTTCCTGTGTCCTCCGACCGATTGAGCATTTGCACTTCTTTCAACATTTTCAGTACAACATGTTCTCATATTTTCCCATATTTTCCCTAGCAAGATGGTCATTTTGGGGCACCAAGACATCCCCCAGTTTCAGCATGTTTCAGCTCTGGCTCCAGGAAAAATCTTAAGAACCATCGACCTCAGGGAGCTCGAGGAGAAGGACCTGACATTCCGAGTCAGCAGAGTCCGATGATGAAAATTCGTGGCAACGTTTGAACATGGGGCCCGGCCCCCAAACCGCAGAATCATCATGATTATTCCATACTATTCCATACTATTCCATACTATTCCAAGATTTCCCAAGTAAAAATGTCAGTGTGGGGGGCGAAGTTACTAAATTGCAAAATCAGCAAACCCAATTTTGGGACAAAGCCATTGGCAAATTGGTCACCAAACGATCTCGTGCCAATAATGTCGATGTCCAATCTGTGGATGACATGGTGAAGCCATGGTTATCGAATGTCATCCAGGAGGGGCGAACACCTCCCATACGCTTCGTCGAGCACATGATGGAAAGTAATGAGCAGTGCCCTGTCATTGCCGGTTGAATCACCAAGCCAGTGCCCATTCGTTTCATGGTGGACGGTAGCGCCCCTGGCGTTCCCAGGCTTTTTTTGGAACAATTGCGGAGCTCCTTTGTGGAACTTGATCCTACAGATGGCCTTCATGCCAGGCTGTGCGTTCAGTGGGTGCAACAGGGTGTTGACCATCTCGGGACGACTATGACTTGAAAACACTTCCCTGGCAGGTATGGGGAGCCCAAGGAGCAAGAGAAGGTGGAGAGCGGCATTTTGAGCCTCATGGCGCTTGTCAGAAATGACTACGAGGCAGAATGGAACTTGGGAATGACATCAAATGACATCAACGGGCACTCAGAGATTAGGGTGCTTTCATTACTTTTCATTCACAGATCAATGGCCGGAAGTAGTGTGTGCATCAAGGGTGGTATCAGGAGTGTCTTGGTCTAGTCACATGTCGCCTTCCAGGCCTTTACAGCACCGCAGAAGGGGCCCAACCGATTATCCACCACTCAGTGGCAACAACTGCAAGGAGTGCTGGAATGGGCCGAACCTACGCCAGAGCTTCTTGGTGATGCATATCTTGGGAAAGGCACTTTGAAATTGAAGGCTTTGACCGTGACCAGAAATGGGGAACCTACTCCTGGACACAGAAATGGGTTTTTTATTGGACGATGGGTTTGGAGGTGCACTGGGACTTACCTCAAGCAAGGCTAGCCCATGCACTGAGGAAGGTTGCAGCTGCAATTTGGCTTTTGGCGGTCCGTCCCATTGGCAAGTACAGGCAGTGGCATGCACAGCATGAGTGCAATCCTTCTCAGACATGATTTCTTCAACGAAGGTCTACGCCTACTCCTAGCTCCTCTTTATGAGCAGTTTGTTGGGGTGTTGCATGCTCACTGACCTTTTGTGACAGGTCAGTCACTTCCCAAATCCCTTCTGCACATCAACGGCCTGATCAAGCAGTGCGATATGTGCTGGTCGCTTGGATTATGACCTGCCAAACAGCTGCATCAGTGCCGCCGATCTGAGAAAGGGACAGAAAGGACACAGAAGTTTGACAAAGTTTGACAAGCTGCTAGATATGGTTCGCTCAAATTAAATCAAAACATATCAAACCGCTTCCGATGTGACAGATCAGACACCGGGGCTCAGCAAGGCTTCGTACCCTTTTCTGGCACCCACGGGCCATCACCTGGAAAAGCATATTCGACTCTTCGTGAGACTTGGACTTCTGAAACAGCGGTTGCAGTTTGGCATCTATGGTTTGCAGGGAGAGCCAATAATTGCTAAAACACGCCCCCCCCCAAAAAAGAATAAATTACGATTCAGAAACTTTACCCGATTCAGCAACTCCGATTCAGCAACTCCGATTCAGAAACTCCAAGGATTCAGAAACTCCGGGTTGTCCCGATTCAGAAACTCCACCTTGTCCCGATTCAGCAACTCCACCCTGTTCCGATTCAGCAACTCCACCCTGTGCCGATTCAGCAACTCCACCCTGTCCCGATTCAGCAACTCCACCCTGTCCCGATTCAGCAACTCCACCCTGTCCCGATTCAGCAACTCCACCCTGTCCCGATTCAGCAACTCCACCCTGTCCCGATTCAGCAACTCCACCCTGTCCCGATTCAGCAACTCCACCCTGTCCCGATTCAGCAACTCCACCCTGTCCCGATTCAGCAACTCCACCCCCTCCCGATTCAGCAACTCCACCCTCTCCCGATTCAACAACTCCCCCCTCTCCCGATTCAGCAACTCCACCCTGTCCCGATTCAGCAACTCCAACCTGTCCCGATTCAGCAACTCCACCCTGTCCCGATTCAGCAACTCCACCCTCTCCCGATTCAGCAACTCCACCCTGTCCCGATTCAGCAACTCCAACCTGTCCCGATTCAGCAACTCCACCCTGTCCCGCATCCTTCCCTTGCATAGAGTTCTTATCAAGATTCCAAGTCATTTTCTAAACTTCCCCCCCCCAAAGCTCTGCATGCAATGGTATTCCTCAATGCACATCCTTCCCTTGCATAGAGTTCTTCTCACGGTTGCAAGTCTTTTTATAAACTTCCCCCCCCAAAGCCCTACATGTGCATGCAATAGTAGTCATCAATGCATACCTTCCCTTTCACAGAGTTCTTGTCACGATTGCAAGTCATTTTCTAAACTTCCCCCCCAAAAGCTCTGCATGCAATGGTATTCCTCAATGCACATCCTTCCCTTTCACAGAGTTCTTGTCACGATTGCAAGTCATTTTCTAAACTTCCCCCCCCCAAAGCTCTGCATACAATGGTATTCCTCAATGCACATCCTTCCCTTTCACAGAGTTCTTGTCACGATTGCAAGTCATTTTCTAAACTTCCCCCCCCCAAAGCTCTGCATGCAATGGTAGTCCTCAATGCACATCCTTCCCTTGCATAGAGTTCTTCTCACGGTTGCAAGTCATTTTTATAAACTCCCCCCCCAAAGCTCTGCATACAATGGTATTCCTCAATGCACATCCTTCCCTTTCATAGAGTTCTTGTCAAGATTGCAAGTCATTTTCTAAACTTCCCCCCCGAAAAGCTCTGCATGCAATGGTATTTCTGAATGCGCATCCTTCCCTTGCATAGAGTTCTTGTCACCATTGCAAGTCATTTTCTAAACTTCCCCCCCCAAAAGCTCTGCATACGATGGTATTCCTCAATGCACATCCTTCCCTTGCATAGAGTTCTTCTCATGGTTGCAAGTCTTTTTATAAACTTCCCCCCCCAAAGCCCTGCATGCAATGGTATTCCTCAATGCAAATCCTTCCCTTGCATAGAGTTCTTGTCACCATTGCAAGTCATTTTCTAAACTTCCCCCCCCAAAGCCCTACATGCAATAGTAGTCATCAATGCATACCTTCCCTTTCACAGAGTTCTTGTCACGATTGCAAGTCATTTTCTAAACTTCCCCCCCCCAAAGCTCTGCATGCAATGGTATTCCTCAATGCACATCCTTCCCTTTCACAGAGTTCTTGTCACGATTGCAAGTCATTTTCTAAACTTCCCCCCCCCCAAAGCTCTGCATGCAATGGTAGTCCTCAATGCACATCCTTCCCTTTCACAGAGTTCTTGTCACGATTGCAAGTCATTTTCTAAACTTCCCCCCACCCAAAGCTCTGCATGCAATGGTAGTCCTCAATGCACATCCTTCCCTTGCATAGAGTTCTTCTCACGGTTGCAAGTCATTTTTATAAACTTCCCCCCCCCAAAGCTCTGCATACAATGGTATTCCTCAATGCACATCCTTCCCTTTCATAGAGTTCTTGTCACGATTGCAAGTCATTTTCTAAACTTCCCCCCCGAAAAGCTCTGCATGCAATGGTATTTCTGAATGCGCATCCTTCCCTTGCATAGAGTTCTTGTCACCATTGCAAGTCATTTTCTAAACTTCCCACCCGAAAGCTCTGCATGCAATGGTATTTCTGAATGCGCATCCTTCCCTTGCATAGAGTTCTTGTCACCATTGCAAGTCATTTTCTAAACTTCCCCCCCCAAGCTCTGCATACAATGGTATTCCTCAATGCACATCCTTCCCTTTCATCGAGTTCTTGTCACCTTTGCAAGTCATTTTCTAAACTTCCCCCCCCAAAGCTCTGCATGCAATGGTAGTCCTCAATGCACATCCTTCCCTTGCATAGAGTTCTTGTCACGGTTGCAAGTCATTTTTCTAAACTTCCCCCCCCAAAGCTCTGCATACAATGGTATTCCTCAATGCACATCCTTCCCTTGCATAGAGTTCTTGTCACGGTTGCAAGTCATTTTTATAAACTTCCCCCCCCAAAGCTCTGCATACAATGGTATTCCTCAATGCACATCCTTCCCTTTCATAGAGTTCTTGTCACCATTGCAAGTCATTTTCTAAACTTCCCCCCCCCAAAGCTCTGCATACAATGGTATTCCTCAATGCACATCCTTCCCTTGCATAGAGTTCTTCTCACGGTTGCAAGTCTTTTTATAAACTTCCCCCCCAAAGCCCTGCATGCAATGGTATTCCTCAATGCAAATTCTTCCCTTGCATAGAGTTCTTGTCACCATTGCAAGTCATTTTCTAACCTTCCCCCCCCAAAGCCCTACATGCAATAGTAGTCATCAATGCATACCTTCCCTTTCACAGAGTTCTTGTCACGATTGCAAGTCATTTTCTAAACTTCCCCCCCCCAAAGCTCTGCATACAATGGTATTCCTCAATGCACATCCTTCCCTTTCACAGAGTTCTTGTCACGATTGCAAGTCATTTTCTAAACTTCCCCCCCCCAAAGCTCTGCATGCAATGGTAGTCCTCAATGCACATCCTTCCCTTTCACAGAGTTCTTGTCACGATTGCAAGTCATTTTCTAAACTCCCCCCCCCAAAGCCCTGCATGCAATGGTAGTCCTCAATGCAAATCCTTCCCTTGCATAGAGTTCTTCTCACTCGGTCCGGTTCCCATTCTACGGCATGCCCGGCACACCCTGCCTATAGATTTCCTATTTTTGAAACTTCCGCCACCGCCTTGCGCAGTACTATTGGAATACACCAGTCAACATTGGGATACATTGGATTCGTGTATGATCAACCATTCGGATTGCATCAGTGAGTCTATACATATAGGAGATCAGTTTGCATTTTCAGATCAATCCGACGAACTACATCCGGAATGTTCTTTTTTCCACAATGCAGTTTGTTTTTTTTGAGATCTCGGCACTGGGAGTTTCCACACCAATGCTATTTCTAAATCCCAAATTCAAGTTTCCGAATCCGGGGGGAGCCGCAACTTTCCGTATCCGAAGGCCTTGAAGTTTCCGAATCCGAGGGCCTGGAAGTTTCCGAATCCGTGTCTTCGAAGTTTCCGAATCCGGGGGACAGCGAGTTTCCGAATCCGACGCCCTGGCAGTTTCCGAATCCGCGGGCTTCGAAGTTTCCGAATCCGGGGGGCAGGGAGTTTCCGAATCCGAGGGCCACGGAGTTTCCGAATCCGTGGGCCTTGAAGTTTCCGAATCCGAGGGCCTGGAAGTTTCCGAATCCGAGGGCCTGGAAGTTTCCGAATCCGTGGGCTTCGAAGTTTCCGAATCCGGGGGGCAGCAAGTTTCCGAATCCGAGGGCCTGGGAGTTTCCGAATCCGTGGGCTTCGAAGTTTCCGAATCCGGGGGGCAGGAAGTTTCCGAATCCGAGGGCCAGGGAGTTTCCGAATCCGTGGGCTTGGAAGTTTCCGAATCCGAGGGCCTGGAAGTTTCCGAATCCGACGCTAAAGTTTCCGAATCCGGGGGGGAGGGAGTTTCCGAATCCGAGGGCCTGGGAGTTTCCGAATCCGACGCTGAAGTTTCCGAATCCGACGTTGGCCCCAAAAAAATATTAGGGGGTATTTTGTATTAGGGTGCCCCTAATATTCCAATGAACATCCTAGTCTTAATAAAAAAATATAAAATAAAAATTGTGAGATGGGACCCTACTAAAACACCTCCAGGTACCATTCTATTTTTATGGGTAGGGGGCTGTCCCCATTGTTTCACCATCCTGTTCTCCTATTGGTTCTCAATACCACAGCTAAGAATCCAATTGTAACCAACCAAACAAAACCGGAAGTGCCAAAACCAATCCTATATTTTTTATTTGGGGGAGTTTTAGTAGCAGGAAGAAGGGATTAATTTGTCTAAGATGAATGTAGGATGGTCACGCATCATGGGCCCGGTAGTTTGAGCTTGCCGCAAGCTTGACGTGGCTGAGCGACCTGTGCAGCTCAGGACATCCACGTTGGAACTACAGCTGAACTTTAATTTTGCTCAGATGCTTCAGGGCGAAAACGTTCACCAGCTGCAAAATGGCCTTGGGTTTCCGAGAACTCAAGAGGTTTTTTTTGTTCGGGATGGACGGCCCTCGAAGATATACAGAAAGCCGTCGAGTCTAGTTGCCAGATCTTTTTCTAAGTCTAAGATGAGACCCAAGTTAATCCTCCCCTGCGACTGAAGTCTTTAAAAGTGCTTCTAAGAATTTGAGAAGAATGGGTTTTCTACTGACAGGTGGTTTGTTTACTCAGAAGATCAATCATTTGTGCCCTGTGCATGTTTGACTCACATCGACCCCAGCTGCTCGACCCAGTTGCCCAGTTGCCCAGTTGCCCAGGTCCCAGCCAACCTCTTGCAACTCGAAGAGTTCATCCTCAAGAAGAGCGGCCAGTTGGCTGCAGCTACCATGGCTGCTACCAGCATGATGCTCCTGACTTGGACCAATTGGAATTTTCAATATCCCACATATCCCAATGACAATCCTCAGCCTGAAACATTGGAGATGGGGCTGAATACAAGAAGCTGTTGCAGAAACCCGCAGAAGCAGATTGTGTTATTGTAAAGGTTTTTGATGCGTCATGATGGGTTACGTTTGCTGAGTTGTGCCAGTGCGACCAATCCTACCAGTGCCATAGCGTGCCATTCAAGACCTACTTTGAGTAGTTCATTATGCTTGAGTGTTTTTGAGTCACCGGAGATCAATTAGCCAGTGTGTGACCTGGCCAAATAACATCACTGAAGTACTGCATTTGCCAAAGGCCATGTTATGCCAAAATTACTCGCGACATGGACCTCTCCCCTGTAAACACCCTGCGACCATCAAAAGACGTTTCATTCACATTCGGTCCCTTTGAAAAAGATTAAAGCAGAGCTCAAGCTGTCTGTCTGATTGTGTGCCCCTTCGCACTACCAACACCAACGAACAGTGGATTTTGTTTAATTACTCAGTCAGTCTATCCATTGCAAAAAGATTATTCTTGAGACGTGAATGGACCCCTAGCAGGATTGCAGCATGACTTCACCATCAAATGACAGAGGTTTCCATATAGATCATATAGGAGCTAGGAGCGCAAAGGGTCCCCATTCTTCTGAGGTGAGGAGACGTTAAAGTTTTATGCGTCTCGGCTTGCAAAGTGGATCATAGGATGGCATAGGATGGCATAGGTGTGTTTTCACTTCCACTTCCTTCATTTTCCTTCTTGTATTTTGATGTATTTTGTTGAAACATATCGAACAATATGCCCAAAGTGGAAAGTTTGGTCGACAGCCTCGACAGCAAAATCCACTGCGATCCAGGTGCTTTTCTTGCTGGGCTTCCTGAGCGGCCTGGCCGGCGGCAGCGGCTCACGCTTCATGAACTGTAGCAATGCTCGATCAACCATCCCAGGGCTGCATATTCTCATGCGGGTGTTGAAGAAGGACGATGACAGCCACAACAGCTCATGTTGTATGTTGTAACATTGTGAAATATGGTCAAAGGAAGTTTAGGGGGAGAAACTTCCGTGTTACGGACTTTTAGAATGTCAGGGAAAGAGTTAGTCAAAGAAAGAGTTAGCAAAGAAAGAGTTCGTCAGGGAAAGAGTTCGTCAAAGAAAGAGTTAGTCAAAGAAGAGTTAGTCAAAGAAAGAGTTAGTGCGGGAAAGAGTTAGTCAAAGAAAGAGTTAGCAAAGAAACAGTTAGTCAGGGAAAGAGTTAGTCAAAGAAAGAGTTAGCAAAGAAACAGTTAGTCAGGGAAAGAGTTAGTCAAAGAAAGAGTTAGTGAGGGAAAGAGTTAGTCAAAGAAAGAGATAGTGAGGGAAAGAGTTAGTCAAAGAAAGAGATAGTGAGGGAAAGAGTTAGTCAAAGAAAGAGTTAGCAAAGAAACAGTTAGTCAGGGAAAGAGTTAGTCAAAGAAAGAGTTAGTCAGGGAAAGAGTTAGTCAAAGAAAGAGTTAGTGAGGGAAAGAGTTAGCCAAAGAAAGAGTTAGCAAAGAAACAGTTAGTCAGGGAAAGAGTTAGTCAAAGAAAGAGTTAGTGAGGGAAAGAGTTAGCAAAGAAACTGTTCCCTCACTGTAAATGGGATTGCAAGTGGTGCTGGTGGAGGAGTTGCCGATGGAGTTTTGGAGGAGTCTCGCACGAAATGCGTTTTTGAGAGATAGCAGATGCACGAAAGCCTATGTTTTTCCATACAAAGTCCGTCCCCGAACCTCGATGATCTACCTCTGCGGTGCGACGGGTGCGAGACGGTCTCGTGTGTGGTCGGATCATGGTCGGATCATGGTCGGATCGGTCTCGGATCATGGTCGGATCGGTTCCGCATTGTAAATGGGGTTTCAAGTGTTTTTCGTGCATTTGCGGTCGACAGAATTCCATTGTGATTTGCAACTGTAGGATCGTTCCCGCAATGTAAATGGGATTGCAAGTGGTGCTGGTGGATGAGTTGCCAATGGAATTCCATTGTGATTTGCAACTCTAGGATCGTTCCCTCACTGTAAATGGGATTGCAAGTGGTGCTGGTGGAGGAGTTGCCGATGGAGTTTTGCAGAAAGTCTCGCACTAAATGCGTTTTTGAGAGATAGCAGATGCACGAAACCCTATGTTTTTCCATACAAAGTCCGTCCCCGAACCTCGATGATCTACCTCTGCGGTGCGACGGTTGCGAGACGGTCTCGTGTATGGTCGGATCATTCTCGGATCATGCTCGGATCATGTTCGGATCATGGTCGGATCATGGTCGGATCGGTTCCGCATTGTAAATGGGGTTTCAAGTGTTTTTCGTGCATGCGCGGTCGACAGAATTCCATTGTGATTTGCAACTGTATAGGATCGTTCCCGCATTGTAAATGGGGTTGCAAGTGGTGCTGGTGGATGAGTTGCCGATGGAATTCCATTGTGATTTGGAAGTGTAGGATCGTTCCCGCAATGCAAATGGCATTGCAAGTGGTGCTGGTGGATGAGTTGCCGATGGAATTCCATTGTGCTTTGCAACTGTAGGATCGTTCCCGCAGTGTAAATGGGATCGCAAGTGTTGCTTCCTCTTTTGGCTGCATGCGTAATACTATTGTCTTTTGCAGCTGGACTTCGTAAATCGTATTGGAGTGGCTGCATGAAGGCTGCGACAGTGATTTGTCAGCAGATTTTCTCCATTTTGGCGCTAGTAATTTTCCTTTTAAAAATCCTTTTAAAAAGTGCTTCAAAATCGTCTTTTTTTTCGCTTTGGCGTCGAGATCCGGTTTTGAAGCTGCAATTTCCGACCCAGTTGCGCGTAGTTCTATTGTGTTTTGCAACTCAGTCTTTGCAGATCGCATTGTAATGGCTGCGTCAAGGTTGCTTGGTGCCGCGGCTGCATGCGCAATACTATTGTCTTTTGCAACTGGACTTCGTAAATTGTATTGGAGTGGCTGCGTGAAGGCTGCGACAGTGATTTGTCAGCAGATTTTCTCCATTTTGGCGCTAGTGATTTTCCTTCTAAAAATCCTTTTAAAAAGTGCTTCAAAATCGTCTTTTTTTCGTTCGGCGTCGAGATCCGGTTTTGGAGCTACAATTTCCGACGCCGTTGCGCGTAGTTCTATTGTGTTTTGCAACTCAGTCTCCGCAGATCGCATTGTACTGGCTGCGTCAAGGTTGCTTCATGCTGTGGCTGCATGCGTAATACTATTGTCTTTTGCAGCTGGACTTCGTAAATCGTATTGGAGTGGGTGCATCAAGGGTTCGACAGTGATTAGTAGTAGTGCTGGGAATTGATTAATGAAAGCTTAATAGATGACATATGAGAAGGGACGAGATGAGAAGAGATGAGCTGGGATAAGGTGAGAAGAGCTCAGATGAGATGAAAACTGTGGAGTGTGAAGAGTGCAGTGTGAAGTGTGGGGCGTGAAGAGTGCAGTGTGAAGTGTGAAGTGTGAAGTGTGAAGTGTGAAGTTTGGAGTGTGAAGGAAGCAGTGAGAAGTGAGAAGTGTGGACTGTGAAGTGTGGAGTGTGAAGTTTGGAGTGCAAAGAGTGCAGTGTGAAGTGTGGAGTGTGAAGAGTGCAGTGTGAAGGAAGCAGTGGGAAGTGAGAAGTGTGAAGTGTGGAGTGTGAAGTTTAAGTTTGGAGTGCGAAGAGTGAGTGTGAAGTGTGAAGTGTGAGGTTTGGAGTGTGAAGGCAGCAGTGAGAAGTGAGAAGTGTGAAGTGTGGACTGTGAAGTGTGGAGTGTGAAGTGCGAAGTTAGAAGTGTGAAGTTTGGAGTGTGAAGGAAGCAGTGAGAAGTGTGAAGTGTGGACTGTGAAGTGTGAAGTGTGAGAAGTGTGAAGTGTGAAGTGTGAAGTTTGGAGTGTGAAGGCAGCAGCGAGAAGTGAGAAGTGTGAAGTGTGGAGTGCGAAGTGTGGAGTGTGAAGTGTGAAGTTTCGAGTGCGAAGAGTGCAGTGTGAAGTGTGGAGTGCGAAGTGTGGAGTGTGAAGACTTTGCTTCGTCTCTCGCTGAAAAAAAAATTGTCGAGGGAAGGACACGGTCGGGACAGGCTGGCGTCGAACTATAGGTCATTTATGTTTGGGAAACTTCCGCCGCCGGCTTGCCCAGGTCTATGTTATAATGATGTATAATGTGTTGTAATATGTTGTAATGTTGACCCTGGATTCGAAAGACATCCAGGGTTTTCATGTTTGTAGCCTTTCTCGATTTATCATCATTGACTCGTTTTCTTTTGTGTTCTTGTAAAGATGTGGCTATTCAAACATATTAAACATCATTAAACATCATTAAACAACATGGGTCTCTGTTTGTTCTGAGCAATGCTTGATGGCTACCCTGGACCCTGGATTGCCCCGTTGAGAGAGTGGATGACTGCCAAACCATTATGGGAGACGTTGCAGACTGGCAGGAGTAATTAAGATTCATTCAGATGGATAAAGATTGACCAAGACATCCCCCCCCTTTAACCCTGGAATATTTTTTTGGGGGGGGTAAGGCAAGAAATTTCTGAGAAATATTTCACCTGACCACGTGAAATATACCCCCCCCCACGTGTTTTTTGGGTTTCGGAAAAACGTGGGGGGGGGTCCTCCGGATGCCACATTTTAGCCCAGAGATGGTATGACACACCCTTTCATTTTGCGTAAAACGAGCGCGCGTCTTCTACACGCCGACGCTGTTCCTTTTTGGGCCTTTTTAGTCCTTACGCGGGTAGGGTCCACGCGCAAACACACAACTAGGTAAATGGTAACTGCCGGTTTCCAAGAAAGTAAATAAGAGAGTTAACTTGCCAAACAGCCTTCAGAACATGACATTCAGCCTTGAATTCAACCACGCCCAGAGACCATTATAGACCAGATTTTTTTAAGCTGAAATATTTCACTTTAGGGAGGTGAAATATTTCTAGGTGTGGGGGGGGGGAGACCCCCCCCTAAAGTGAAATATTTCAGTTTTTACCCCCCCCACCCCCCCCTTAAAGGGGGGGGATACCAAGACTAATTGAAAGATATTGAACGTACTTATATAAGGCATTTTAAGACCATATATTGAGGTTAATCTAGATTGACTGTATACACGTTGTAAGATGTAGAGTGCCACCAGGACCCAACAGCACTCTACTGGACCTACATCCACAACCGAGCCGTGGAGCTGGGGCGAAAACCCGAAAATACCGCTGACCTGGCGGTCGTGCGCTTGGCGTGTCTCTTGATGGGATGAGCTGTTTGTTTGGCGGTGGCTTTCTACTAGAGACGAAGAGTCTGAAGATAGCGCGTTACTGTGGTCACGATTGGATTCACTTTTCATCCTCATTGGAGTTCTTTGAACCTGAACGAGGGCTCAATGGCTCACATGTTTGTTTCATATTACATAATCCCAAACTGTTGGACATCAATTTGGGAATGCAAAAGATGGGGTTTTTATATGTTTTTATGAAACACTAGTTATTAATGGGCGAAATTTTCAAATTATATATATATATATAATAAGGAATGGATCAAGACAACTCCTGATTTATGGTGGCTGTGAGCCGAACGTTCCGCGGCATTCCGCGGCTTGCCCAGGTCTTTGTCGAGCGCAGACTGCGAAGGCCGAAGGGGAACCAGATTGGAGGTGTTGAATCTGCGGAGATATGCCAGGAGGATCCAGGAGGCAATGTATGATACTGATACTACCATGTTTACAACAAGATACAACAAATACACTGTAGATTTATGATGACTTATGCATATTTCTGCGCTTTGTAAATCTGCCTGCTGACGCATGCAATTAAATCTATACGCGATTATACGCGTATTTATTTGTCTACATACATCTCACATATGCATACGTATGTTCACCCACATTTGCACAGCAACAGTGAGAATCTGTAGGGTTCTTGGCTGAGAAGAGAGACATGGGAGAAGAAAACATGGACGTGTCAGACCGGAACCATGCACATTAGTCATTAGCGCTTCAATAGTGGTTGCTCATCGTTAGATCCTGTTTGGGCAGAGCCACTAACTGATGCCCGTCAGCCATATCACAGGTGCATTCATTTCACTGGAGGTGAAGTACATGGTTATCCTCATTGATTGTTGGTTTATTTACAATACTCATAAACAGTATATGTTTATAAAACATTTACAGTATATACAGTATATATATTATAGATATAAGATATTAGAATATGTATATATATTATATATTATGTTTGTATCAGCTTCTCCCATTTTTATTGGAATGGTTCTTCCTGGAATGGCGCTGAGGACTTGCATCAGTTGCAGGAGTCCTGGTACCACCTGAGCGCGGGGGAGCAGAGCAGTTTGCTTCGGCACTTCTTGGCAGATGGGGTGGTCAACCAGGCCATTGTTTTTGAGTGGCGCAGTTGCAGGGAAGACAAAAGGGGAAGACCAGGCAACGCAAGAAAAATAAGGTTGATGATCATGACGGTTGGCCTAGAATTGGGTGAGTTGTGGATTATTTGTGAATTTGTGGATGATTTATGGTTATTTGCGACATGTGGCATTTGCTACATCATATTTTGATCCAGATGTTGTGGTAAAGCCCTTGATTTTAGCAGCTTGACATAGCAACAGACCGAGGTTCCTGCCACTCTGCTTGGAGCGGGCCAAGAACAATGCCTTTGTGACCATCCCATCCCTTTTGCAGGCTGGGTGGCAGCCGGAATGGCCTGCTGGAATGGGGTTCCATGTCGCACCCTTGGGATGTGTTGATGTGTTGACGTGTGTGGACATCCATTTGAAATTGGGCATGCGGGAGTCTTGGTATCTTGGCCTGTTCCATCCACCTCCAGATTTTGGTGGAACTCTTGACAGCGGTGCGTGCAGTGGCTCAGAAAGCAGGCGATGCGGGGGATGGCTGAAGCCGGGAAGGGCAAAAGGAAGATTTTTGGGAATCACTGAAACATATTGCGTTCAGTTTGTAAGATTTGATTCAAATTGTAAGACTGTGTTAGCTGTTCGCGATTCTTCGTCGGTCCCACTATGCCCCACTGAGCCATACAGCTTGTACCTTTGGATGAGGTGAAGCTTAAGATGCATTGATCTCAACATATCACAACTAACTGCTGCAATGGCAATGATCATTTGGTATGATCATTCCATGATTTGTCCTCTTTGAACTTTTCCCCCCGATCATGCCACAATGCCACGCCTCAGGAGCCAAAGTGTCGAAGGATACCCCTGAGGACCAGGGCCCAGGAGGCAGCAAGCTCCGCACGCTGGCGGTGGACTTGGGGGAGTTAGCAGGCTTCATTCTCTTAGTGCAGAATAGCCACCTGGCGCGGTTTGCAAAGTGACTGGTCCCAGCACCCAGTCATGTTCATTGAAATTCAATCCATGATTTTGGTGAATTTTTCCATTTCCTTGCGAAGTCATTCCTTGGAAACCAAAGGCCATCAACGACCTTTAAAGCATGACATGACTTCACGGGTTTTGCAAGTGGCAAGGGTGAGATTCCACAAGAGCTTGGCAGAACTGCATGCAGCACATCAACCCAAGAACATTATATTTTGAAGAACTTGCAGCTGCTTCTACGCGTGCAGCGTGCATCGTGCTTGATATTTGTTTATCTTTGGGGCATTTATTTCCGCGCAATTTTAATGCCTTCACCACCCAACGACAGTTCTTTACAGAGTGGATGCGGTCTGAGGCTACATCTTCCAGACCTGCCTGTGTCGCGCAAAGCTCCGCATGACAGAAGCTTGATCATTATTGACAGGGAGGACCATCAAAAAAAAAAATAATTATCATAAAAAAAAATAATTCATCAAAAAAAATTAAATCATCAAAAAGAAATTTAAATAAAGGAAAGAAAAGGAAGGAAAGAAGGAAGGAAGGAAGGAAGGAAGGAAGGAGAGAAGGGAAGCAGGAAAGGAAGGAAGGAAGGAAGGAAGGAAGGAAGGAGAGAAGGGAAACAAGAAAGGAAGGAAGGAAGGAAAGAAGGGAAGCAGGAAAGGAAGGAAGGAAGGAAGGAAGGAAGGAAGGAGAGAAAGGAAGCAAGAAAGGAAGGAAGGAAAGAAGGGAAGCAAGAAAGGAAGGAAGGAATGAAAGAAGGGAAGCAGGAAAGGAAGGAAGGAAGGAAGGAAGGAGAGAAAGGAAGCAAGGAAAGGAAGGAAGGAATGAAAGAAGGGAAGCAAGGAAAGGAAGGAAGGAAGGAAAGAAGGGAAGCAAGGAAAGGAAGGAAGGAATGAAAGAAGGGAAGCAAGGAAAGGAAGGAAGGAAAGGAAGCAGGAAAGGAAGGACGGAGGGAGGGAGGGAGGGAGGAGGGAAGGAAGGAGGGAAGGAGGGAAGGAGGGCAAGACAGGGAAAGAAAGGAAAAGAAAGGAAAAGAAAGGAAAAGAAAGGAAAAGAAAGGAAAAGAAAGGAAAAGAAAGGAAAAGAAAGGAAAAGAAAGGATAAGAAAGGAAAAGAAAGGAAAAGAAAAGAAAGGAAAGAAAGGAAAGAGGAAAGGAAAGAGGAAAGGAAAGAGGAAAGGAAAGAGGAAAGGAAAGAGGAAAGGAAAGAGGAAAGGAAAGAGGGAAGGAAAGAGGGAAGGAAAGAGGGAAGGAAAGAGGGAAGGAAAAGAAAGGAAGGAGGAAATGAAGGAGGAAAAGCAGGGAAGGAAGCATACAAATTGCCATTCTTTACAAATACAAGCTAGCTTTCGAATGAAAGGATGTACCTGACCAGTGGTAGACGGGCTATTTTAGGACCAAAAACGAAACCCATGTTATCGGGAGATTGTTGGAAGTTAGCAAGGAAACATTAAGGACCCCCAAAAAAATGAGGGAGGGTAATTTAATTTGTTTCTTTTTTTTCTCCTTGGTTCCTGGTGGCTCCTATAGTTCCCTGTGTGGCTCCTGGCTTCTGTGGCTCCTTCGGCTCCTGTGTCCCTGGTGGCTCCTGGTGGCTTCGTGGCTTCTTGGCTTTTTGGCTTCTGGCTGCTTGTCTTTTAGCTTCTTTGGTACATGGCTCCTCCGGCTCCTCTGGCTTCTTCGGCTCCTATGGCTCCTTCGGCTCCTGTGGCTTTTCGCTCTTATGGCTCCTTCGGCTCCACATCTACACCTACGTCTATGTCTATATCTATATCTCAATCAATCAATCAATCAATCTATCTATCTTTCTTTCTATCTATCTATTTGTCTTTCTATGTATCTTACCCTATCTTACTCTATCTTACCCTATCTTACCCTATCTTTTCCTATCTTACCCTATCTTATCCTATCTTTTCCTTTTTATTCTATCTTTCCTATATTGCGAATGAATGTATCATGACCATGTGACGCTTTGCAAGGGGGAGGCGCCGCGCCCTGTTTTTTTTTTTACTTGAATCCTACGTGGGTACTGCATGAGTATTGAGCATATTTATATACGCTGTCAAGGCTCACGAGAGGTATAGAGTAATCCTGTGGACACCACTCATGTGACGCTTTGCGGGGGGAGGCGCTGCCCCCTCCCGCCTTTTTATTTAACCCCCCCCCCGCGGCTTGTGACAACGCCAGAAAGGTGGATGATAAGGCCCACCTACATCTGCACATGCATGGTATCAGGACATGGACGCTTGCGGGGGGCGGGCTCCCCCCGCGCCCCCCTCCCGCCTTTTTATTTAACCCCCCCCCCGCGGCTTGTGACAACGCCAGAAAGGTGGATGATAAGGCCCACCTACATTGCAAATGAATGTATCATGACCATGTGACGCTTTGCGGGGGGAGGCGCTCCCCCCGCGCCCCCCTCCCGCCTTTTTATATTTGAAAGCCCCACCCGCGGCTTGTGACAACGCCAGCAAGGTGGATGATAAGGCCCACCTACATTGCGAATGAATGTGTCATGATCATGTGACCCAAGGCATTTCCAGGGGGGGAGGCCAAACATGTGGCTCTTGTTGAGTTACTTTGGTTATAGTTGAAAACACCAAACATACAAAGCGAACCAACCAAGCAACCGAGCAACCGAGCAACTGACCAGCCAACTAGCCACCCAGCCCACATGCTTGGTTTGTTTCTGTGCTGTGACAACGCCACAAAGGTGGATGATACGGCCCACCTATACTGTTCTGTTGGGGGGAGGCGCTGCGCCCTTTTTTTTGTCTTAACTTGAATCCTACGCGGGTACTGCATGAGTATTGAGCATATTTATATACGCTGTCAAGGCTCAAGAGAGGTATAGAGTAATCCTGTAGACACCACTCATGTGACGCTTTGCGGGGGGAGGCGCGTTGGTGCTTTTTTCAGGAACATGGCACTGGTGCCCGATGCATTTCCAGGGGGAGGCCACATGTATGGCTCTTGTTTTGTCAACCTTTTGTTATTTTGGTTCGGTTGCACGCACACACACGCACCAAACGACTACAACCAAGACAGCGAAGAAGCGAACCAGCCAAGCAACCAAACAACCAACCAACCAGGCAACCAGCCAACATGCTTGCTGTGCTTCCGTGCTGTGACAACGCCACAAAGGTGGATGATACGGCCCACCTATACTGTTCTGTTGGGGGGAGGCGCTGCGCCCTTGTTTTTGTCTTAACTTGAATCCTACGCGGGTACTGCATGAGTATTGAGCATATTTATATACGCTGTCAAGGCTCAAGAGAGGTATAGAGTAATCCTGTAGACACCACTCATGTGACGCTTTGCGGGGGGAGGCGCGTTGGTGCTTTTTTCAGGAACATGGCACTGGTGCCCGATGCATTTCCAGGGGGAGGCCACATGTATGGCTCTTGTTTTGTCAACCTTTTGTTATTTTGGTTCGGTTGCACGCACGCACACACACACACACCAAACGACTACAACCAAGACAGCGAAGAAGCGAACCAGCCAAGCAACCAAACAACCAACCAACCAGGCAACCAGCCAACATGCTTGCTGTGCTTCCGTGCTGTGACAACGCCACAAAGGTGGATGATACGGCCCACCTATACTGTTCTGTTGGGGGGAGGCGCTGCGCCCTGGTTTTTGTTTTAACTTGAATCCTACGTGGGTACTGCATGAGTATTGAGCATATTTATATACGCTGTCAAGGCTCAAGGGAGGTATAGAGTAATCCTGTAGACACCACTCATGTGACGCTTTGCGGGGGGAGGCGCTGCGCCCTCCCCCCGCCTTTTTATTTTAAAGCCTTGGCCGCGGCTTGTGACAACGCCAGAAAGGTGGATGATAAGGCCCACCCACATTGCGAATGAATGTGTCATGATAAGGCCCACCTACATTGCGTCCATTCCAGCATAGTAGACATACACCTTTGCAAGTCAAAATGGGGATGGCAGCTGACCATTGCTGTGTGGGGGCCTGGAACTGGTGGCCCGGTGGCCCAACGACTCAGCTGCCTTGCAAGTAGGGCTGTGTGGCTCGAACGCTAGGTCCTGGGAATTGGGTACGCTTGGTCGCTGTGCCAGGTAACTTACACGCATGGAAGTTCGATTCCCGCACGTTCTCATCTTTCTTGGCATTACCAAACCTGTCGCAGCCAACCTGCTCAGCTTCGTCTACTGTCCTCCTGCTACTTCCTCTGGGTTTTAGCGCCAGGCTTGACCTATTGGCCTCTGGCCATTTGGCTTTTGGCTCTTTGGCCTTTTTCAAGCATACTTCATCGCGTAGCCGTGCGTTGTTGTGCAAGCTTCCGTATACAGCAGGCCCACCCACCCGTGCCTGGAAAACATGATGGAAAGAATGGTTTTTGTAGCCCATTGGATTCAATGTTGTTTGGCCCAGTGCCTCGTTATTGAACAGCTTGCGAACCAATACGTGTTCCTTGTGCGATGACTCGTACATGTCGGCGTCGACCAAGCCCACCCAACCGTCCCTCCCAAGTATATTCCTTTTTTAATATACTTTTTCTGCTAGTAATAATTGTTTTACCAATGACCCCCCAAAAAAATTTAAATCATCAAAAAATAATTTAAACATATTTTTTTTGATGATGCAATGCACAGATTTCATGATGCTTGTATTTTGCGTTTGGCTTGCGCAGGCCAGGATATGAGGGAATATTTTTTTTGATGAGTTTAATTTTTTTTGATGGGAAATTAAATTTCTTTTTGATGACTTTTAATTTTTTTTTTGATAGCTGACTCGTTGAAGGAGGGCACGACGGCCATGGTATGGGCCGAGGACTTGAATGGGGCATACAGGCAATTCCCAGTCAGGGACCCTGGGGGCTGCTACTGTGTCCTGATGACTCCTCAAGGACCAGTCTTGCTACAACATCATGCGATGACTTTTGGGGCTGTGAGCTCCGTATAGAATTTCAACAGAGCTGCCGATGGGCTGACATTTCTCAGCAGAAGGCTGTTGGCAACAGCCCTGGGGCACTACGTTGATGACTTCATTGTGGTCGAGACGGAATCTGTCGTGCAAAGTGGGTACGAGCAGTTCACAAGAATGATGAGAACCTTGGGCCTACGCATGAAGGAACGGAAGGCACTCCCACCGTGCACACAGCAAAAAGTCCTGGGCATCAACATGCACATCACACAAGACAGCGTGGTTCTGTCACCACACCCAGAAAGATGCCAGAAGGCCTGCTCCACGATGATGAGAGCGCTCCAGAAGAACGAGCTCTCGAACGATGATGCCCATCGACTGGCAGGCAAGCTGGTCTTTTTGACCTCGACCCTCTTTGGGCAACTGGGCAGAGCAGCGCTGCAACCATTGTATGCACGCGCGCATGGACTATCCAATGATGACCATCAGGGTCAGCTCAATGCCCGCTGCGGTCAGCATTACAGACCCTCGTGGGGCTCTTGAAAGAGATAC